ATAAGACCAACGACAAACTTTCGAGAAAAAAATTTGCAACCACTCGCGTTTACAATTTTCGAATACGAGTGAAAAAATATTAAACATTTTTTTTATTTTCAAAAAGTCAAGGTAGATGTAAAGATAAATCCATTCCGAAATCGGTCAAGAATTTTAAAAGAATTTTTTGAGGGATTTTCGGCCAAAAAAGGAAAAAACACACGGGTAATCCAACAGCCCATAAAATATAAGGGTTGGCGATCTGCACCCCCGGAGTATCGCAAACACGCGCAATTACGAAAGGTACCGAAATAAACGTTAGAAAATAGTCGGAGAATCGCTTTTATTTCTCCAACCTGGAGACCCGGCCGCATCCCCCCACGAACCAATAACGACAAGCTGCTGCCACCGGTGTTACCAGAACGTCGGGCTACCGCGCCCCAGCAGCGAAAGGGGTAGGTAAAACGTCTGCTGAGCCATAACACTCTCGGCCCGGGATTACATTTAACGAAGGAACAATATATTTCCTCCCTTTGGATAGCAGCAATTAACCAGGGACATTGAGGGACAAAGATTTTGGCAACGCACCGAACCTTAAAGACTTCAACCCTATTAATAATCAGAGGGTAGCACGTGCGTGTCCTTGGAAAAAGGGGAAAAAAAGGGAAATACGTTTTTTTTTTTTTTTTTTTTAAACAAATCAAAAAAATATCACAATCTCAAAAGGGCGTGAGAATGCACCCGGGTGTAAATATACTGGAAATGGGGGATGCACGTAATTGCGTGCAAGTATAGCAGGAAGCTCGTAAAGCGAGACCAACCCCTAAGCCGGACGTTCGACGTGGTTACTGATGGGGATGATTGCTGGGTTCGAAGGGGGGAGGGGGGGGTCCAACTGCAGGGGGTAAACTGTAGGGCAGCTTGTACCGAGGATTAAAACAGCCAGATACATATACGTATACACAGGCGCGGTAACGCGTGGGAGGAAAAATAGGGGATGAGCGATCCGCACCATCCCCCAATTTTGCCAATCGCCCTCGGCTTCGCTCGTAAATCCAAGAGTCCTTCCGGCGGGGTCTCAGCATCTACTTCCGGTTTTATATCGTCGCATGAAATCGTCATGCACCGCGATTACACCGAGGTCCGACGAGTTGTCCGATCGATAACGATCGACAGGGGATGGCATCCCTTGTATCAAGGGATCGTCAGGCTCAGTTACGTCACGAAAAAATTTTTGAAAATTCAATAAATTGTTAACGATAAAATTTATCACCGATACCCATTCTTGAACGTTAAAGAGAAATTGGGTCGAGCATATCCATAAGTACCTACCCCCTATATCGATAACAGTTCCCAAGGGATGAAAAATCCTTTCAGGGCTCGATAACAATTCCTTGCTTGACGATTCCGCCCGATTCCCCATAATCTCGCGAGAAGCCAGAAGATATTACCCACCTGATGGGTGTGAGAGTTCATAGACGTCCATAGGAAGAGAAAAACCCTTTTCTTCCTTTGGGGGGGGGGGGTAGTTTAATCCCCCTTGCTGTATATATGTGTGTATATATATATACTCGTCATTCCTTACCACGGCCTCTGCTTTCTGTATTTCGCCCCCCCCTCCCCCCTCCCCCCGTCGTCCCTTCCAGCATCCCGTGCACACACCCTTATACGAAGATAGCCACATCTCGACTCCGCCACCTAACCTACCCATCATAGTATACTTCTTAACCGAAAGCCCAGCCAAGCATCCCTCTCATCGAAGCTTAAGCTTTCATTATTACTTTTTTCACTTACGGCAGCATATTTTGCGCGATATACCCTCTTTGAAATAACTTAGCCAGGCTAGGCGCACTCTGAGGGTAGTTTTGGGTGTCTGGCTACCTGGCTACGGTATATACTTTAAATACGCCAGACGTGTCGGAGTCGCTACGGCGTCTTTGAAATTGGATGGGATATGGATAAGGGGGATGCATCTGGTAAATTTTAGGGGTGCGAGAGTCTCTATGAAATTATTGCCCGACCGGGACGAAACTTAGCAAAGTGCCATGATGCACCTTCGTGAAGCACAGGTTTGGGGATTGACGAGCGGAAGCTTTTTTTTTTCTTTTTTTTTCGAAAAAAAAAAAAAGGCAGAGAATACGAGCTGAAAGGGCGGATTGAATTTTCAGCCGATAGCAAGTTCATCCGGATGTTACGTAGCCCGAAGTTAATATTACGGGGATGCCACAGCCACGGAGTAGATTCGAGCGAGTATATACTAAAGAAAATCAAATATTGATACTCTTATCATCGACCACCCCCCATTCAGCCCCTAGCGTAAGCCTGAGCTAGCTGTAAGGGTCCCCTTTGAAAAGTTGACTCTTGCCATATGCCTTGGGTAGTCCGAAAGAAAGTTTGTTAATCCAAAAAAGAAAAATGTTTCAAAATCAAAAATATTGTGTTAAAATAAAAAATTCCAATAACAACAAATGAATCTGGTCCAGCTTTAGTCACAATTTTCACGTCCGGTCAAACCTCGTGGCACTTTACCTCCAAACAATCCAACGTCCCCAGGGGCTGCTGACTTCAATTCTAAACCTAAGGTGTGTACAAAAAACAAGAATGGTGTAGCAGCACCAGCATTGGCTCCACCAATCACCTCCTCGTCCGAGGTACCGGTAACAGTAGCAACGACAGTGGCAACGCCAGCGTCAGCGCCAGCGTCAGCGCCAGCGTCAGCGGCGACATCAGCAACGCCAGGGCAGAGTCAGTCCGACTCTGCTGGTAGCTAAGCGAAAGGGAGCCCATTGTGCTAAATCACGACGCTAATGCGAAGAGTTTCTAAAGAACGACGAAACAATGGAGGTACTCTGGCGACTGCGCTCTCATCTCGTCAATTTGAGTCTGTGTACCAGAAGCCATCGTTCTCTACCTCTTTTTTTCACTGGTCTTTTTTTTTCACCTCCTCTCCACCGCCTTCGCTCCACTCCTTATCCACTCTTTTTGCGAACAGGCAATAATGCAGTACGCGCGCAGCGCCACTCTTCACGGTGGACGCTTTGAAAACTAACGTGAAAAAAGACGTGGAAACAAAAATTTTTTTTTTTAAAACGAAAAATCCTCCCAAATTATAAACGTAAAAAATTTACAAAAAAAAAATGGTCGCAAGAAAAATCGCAAAGATAGCTTCAGAGAGGAGGAAGGGTGAGGAAATTAACGGGTAGACATAAATGAATGAATAGGATAGCGCGAACAATGCACGTCTGCCAACTTACATCGAAGAAATTAATATTTCCCAAAGTAGCATTTGCAAAAATAACAGAGCCAGCAATGAATTACAAGCTGAACGGAGCAGCAACGTAATTTCAAGATCGACGGATACCTCAGTACCAAGATAGGCGCTGTAACAGGATACTTCGTTAATGCATTCTCTGGACCGTCTAGAAAATTGATACGTAGCGTATAAAAAGCTGAGAGATGGTATCAGACGCCATTGTCATCCCGGTCGTAAACATCCACGAGAAACTGACATCTTGGCAAATAATGAACGATTAAGCTATTCGCGAAAGACGATCTATAACAAAGGACAGTATCCGTTCCCTGTACACAGAGTCCCTGCAGAAAGTCAAGCGGGCGTTGTATAAATCAGCGGACGACTTTTTGAGATCGAGGCGGGAAATTCGAAAAAAAATTGCAACCGATAACCTCCGAAAGCCCATATTTCGTTTTCTTCACGTTTTCATGCTCTCGATACACATTGTATAACTATTGTACTCCAATCCGACGAAACCCAGCGGCTTCTATTTAGCCGGCGTTCGCTGCTTACGCCGGTTCAAGCATGGACCAGACACACGAACGCACGGGAACGCACGAGACTTCAAAGAGAAATACCGTCCGTCTTTCGAATTCTCTACGAGACTCGCTCAGCTGTTTCGTTGCAGCGTCTCAGAAGTGCAGCCCAACGCACCCAGAGGACGGAACCGTTGCGAATGCCACCCATTGAGAAATGGAATTCATTACTCAAAGAAAAAGTCACGTGACCAATTTTCGAAGTCCCGACTATTATTTTCGGCAATAACCAATCCGACCCCTACGGATTCGTTGATTAAATTTTTTTCAATTTTTTTATCCCTGTCGAACCCCTGACTCGATCTGGCTCTCGTCAATCTTCAGCCTCTTCGCATCCGCCGACCCCGCTGACCCCTCTCCCATCGCGAACTGATTAATTTGCAAAAACATGTAAATCAGTATACTCGACTTTGTGTTAGACTCGCGTCTAACCCAACCCCCCTTGGCTTTAAAAAAAATAATTCATAAAAAAAAAAAGGACTTACAAAAATTTTCGAGACGACGATAAAATCGCCCAGTGCGCAAGACACTGAAGTTCCATCGGTCCAAAGGACCATAGGGAGACCCGTGGACACGTGCCAAAGTCAAAATTCGCAATTAAGCAGTCCGTATTTAGAATTTGATAAAAGACCTCGTAGGGGAGTCCACCCAGTCAGCACTTGGCGTAATTGAAATTAAAACAGCTCCCAATTAAAGAACGCAAATCCCATTTAGCAAGGACACGAACCATCGTTATTAAAACCTCGTACCGACCACTGCAGGTGGTACCGACCACGTAAAATCGTTTGCCTAATCAAAATCAAGAAGGTCGTGCCCGATCGAGCACAAACCCAAACACACAAGAACCTTAGTTCGGTACTTTAGAGGTTCGAGGAACCTTAATCGATGCTGAGGCCTCGATTACGCGATGATTGTCAAACACTTTCGTTTGTATTTGGCCAACGGCCAAGGACGCATTGCTCAACTCGAAGACCTACTCGACGTAGCAATGCGACGTGCCACCTTACCGAGTAATACACGTGCATACGGACGCATTCCATCGGAGCGTCTGGCGTTGGGGCACCTAGGCGCACCACGGCGTTACAGAACAATAGGATTCGCTGGCGTAACGCGTAGCGTACATGGTACCAATACACGAACGAAGAAAACAAAAAATTAGAGTGTCAATTGAAAATCGCCTCACGCGCCGCATGATCGACGTACGGATGATCGAATGGGTATATAAGCCGGTCGTAGTAAAGGTACAAGCATCATTCGACAGTCGTGCAACCCTTGAGTAGCATCGAAAACTACAAAAAATCAACATGAAGTGCATCGTGAGTATAAATCGTGATCAATTGAAACCGATTTTCCAAAATCGATAAACATCGACGTTATCGATCGTGTGAGTTTTACGGAAATTTTGCGATTTTTACGAATCGAAAAAATTGTTTTTCACAGGCTTTCGTTCTCCTCGCTCTCGCTGCTTTCGTTATCGCCGATAAGCAGCCCTTGGACGCGGAGGCCATCGAGCCCAACAAGCAGGAAGTCGCCGCGCCGGAAGCACCGCGGGACAAGCGGGGCCTTCTTCTGAGTGCAGCCTACACTGCACCAGTTGCATACACCTCCTATGCAGCCCCTCTTGCGTACAGTGCACCCTACACCTACCCCTATGCCTACTCCGCTTACTCGGCTTATCCTTACTACGCTGCTGCTGCCTACAGTGCACCCCTTATCGTGGCCTGAGGATGTTATCGAAGACGAGGACCCCTGATGCTGGTGGAGAAGATCGATTGGGGAGGATCGGTATTATTTTTCGAAATTATTTCATGATATTATTTTTTTTTAAATTGCTCGATCCGAAAACCCGGCCGTGCTTGGTTATCCAAGCCGGAAACGATTGATTGGATATATTGAACAGATTGACTGTATCGGATCGCATTAGAAATTTTGATAAGCAATCGATCTCACGCCATCTTCAATTCTGTACAATGATGTAATATAATAAATACGAAACTGATATAAACTAAAATATTTTTTTTTGAAATTTTCCTTAAAAATAAATGTTTCCTATCCCTTTCGTAATGATGTAACTGCTGCAATTTTTAATATTTAAGGCGAGTCTGCAATCAGCGATAGAAGGTGGATTTTTTTGCATAAAGCATTCTTACGTAGCACTGTGTACATATGTATGTATAAGCAAGGGTGTTGGCGATACGAGGAAAAATTGCAGCATCCACATGCGTTCACGTAAACGAAATTCTCAGCGACAAATGTAATCCTTTCCAGTATATCGCGGTAAGAAAGTTCGTCGTCGCCGTAACGTCGCGTCGCGCGCATACGAATGAGCCTTTCACCAAATTTCGCGTCCCGTCGAGCGGAGTCAGGGATTCGTGCGCATTTGACGTAAGATTAGGTAAACGAAGCGAGCGCCATCTACGACGCACGTTAAATCCCAGACGGCAGAAATAACTAATGCAAGTATAAAGGCGAAGTTTCATTGGAGATAAATTTTTTTTTTTTTTTTTTTTTAATAAAGCCAATTGTACAATAGGATACTCGGACAAAAGATATAAAGAAATGTTGTGAAGTACAATTTTTCAACTTTATTTTTGAATCCACAAATATTATATATTCATACAAGATTAACCGAAGAATCAAAGTTTCCATATGCCGTTATTCCTTAGGCTGCTGTACGCAAAGCTGACGTTTCGCGATTCCATCCCGAAAGCGTTAAACCTCCTATCGAATTTCATTTTCTCATTCCATTCAGTCGAAACCCCGATGCCATTTTGAAAATCGAATCAATTCAACGACAGAGTTATATACGTGTCATTGAGCAGACCCATAGAAACTGTCGTACGGGCTTTACGGTCGTATCCAATAGAAATATCGTTATAGCTGGGAGGGGGGGGGAGGGGCGCGTATATCGTCATTCGGCAAGTTCACGAATAATGGACGAGAGCGTTTTCGAAGATCGAATAAAAGAAAAAGAAAAAAAAAAAATCAATCACCTAAAAATTATGCGTACAAGCCTTAATAAAATTAAAGCCAATAACACAAGAAATTCAAGTGAACCTCGTAGCACAGCAACAACTAAGCACATAGAAACCGTAAGGGACAGACCAGACTCTCAGAAATCCTATACGAGAAAGCATCTTAACCTGTACGGAACCAGCCGAACTTTCGCCTAATGTCGTCAGTTCGAAATAGCCCGTAACTTCATCATGTTCGAAACTCGAGTTTCCAGGACCATCCGTATAGAAGCACCTTAAGGCTGTTCCCAAAGTAGATCAAGGAACGACAAATAGCAGTCGAGTGTTACTCTTCCCGACCAGCAAGCCAGTGCACAAAAGTTGACCCTTGGTAAGAATTTTTTTTTTTTTTTTTCCCCTAAATGTCGCCCATTGAAAACAACCCAAGTAATACCAGCTCGCTGCATACATAAAATCCATACACACATTTGTATTCTCGACAGGTTCATCCCTTACGTAAAAGTTAAAGGGTCGTCGGCATGCAAGTGTATGGCGAGTATCCACCCTTATGAAAATTCTATAGATACATCCCTGGGATCTTACCAACGTCCGCCATACAGGTGCATTCAACGTGTGTTATATGATAAGAAAAGTGCCAAGGGATGGAAAAGGAGTGAAGGGAGGGGGGGGGAGGGGGAACTGTAAAAATCCAAGAAAAAAATCTCCCTACACCCACACTAGCATCAGTAACCCGTGTTGGTGAAAATATAAAAAAAAATTTAATGACGTCCACAAAATATTTCCAAAAAAAATCGTCGAGAACCGTCACGCGAGAATTATACGGTTTTGGATATGACGTAAGCGGAAGTCATTGTCTGTGACGTAGCTATGGTTTATCTGTACGCATGACGGTGGCGTGAACGATGATTTATGCAGTTTACGAACACACCCGATATCAAACTGCTATTGTCGTCGGGACAGACAATACCTTAGGCTCGGTGCACAACTGGCCATTGTTTTCAGGCGCTACGTCATTCGATGCATATAGGACACACAGAGCATTGATAGATACCTCACTATGGCGCTATCCTAATGACTCTCGTATACGTGCACATCCGGTATTCATTAATACCCCTTGAGCATAAGATACGTGTAATGGCGAAAGTGCGGTATGAAAAATATTTCAAAATTTTGTAAAAATTTATTCCCCGACGTTGATTGGTCGTCGCAATCGTCGATAGACGTTACCGTAAAAGTTGACGATACGAGGTCAATTAGAGCTGTCGCCACCAGTGGAGATTAAAATAACGACGTATCTTCATGGAACGCAAATAAATTCACTTGAACGTCCAATTTTATTCTGCACAGTTGACAGCCGCTATTTTGCAGATATACCGGCAATTTCAATGGGTCGCGTATGAAATCTGTAATTTCGCGACACAAGCGTTATACGATACGACGGATAACAATAATGATAACAAGATCAACAAATATATCGGATAACAGTATGAAAGTTATCGAGTCATCGTTAATGCTTTTATTAAAAAAAAAAGAAAAAAAAAAAGAAAGACTAATTAACGAAAACCAAACGTTGCCTTGAGGGAGATAAAGAAAAATAAAAATTGGTATCGTCGATGGGTGATCATTTACCACCCACCAGCCCCTATCGCACAGCCGCGATTTACCGACAGGTAGGGAAATTTTTCGTTCGATGCCAAAAACCAGACAGATCTCCCATGCGAAGTAATTAATTGAACGCGGTTCGGCTTATGGGGTGGATTTTTTTTTTTTTTTTTTTTTTTAAAGTAAAGAGATGTATGAAAAAAAAAAATAAGACAAAGACGACGACCTCGCAAGGGATCGTGAGAAATTTTTCAATGACACAAGATGACTGTATAGATACGATTAAGTCACTATTGAGCTTCGATTACCACCGGTGGATTTTTTTTTTTTTTTTTTTTTTTTTTTTTACTTCAACTCCAACTCTTCGTACCAGCTCCAATCGAAATATTGATTTTGCAAGAGGATATAGCTATACCTACAAGTTTAGCTTGTACCCCTATACATATCTCAATCCCTTGTATATACATATATAGCCAGTCTATATAGAATATTATATAATATTCTATATTATTATTATTCTATATTCTATATTATCTAATATTCTATAATATAATAATACATTCAAGGTAGCTGAAAATCGTGGCAATCGAATGAAATGCATAGAAAGCATCTACTTGCCGTGCGTGCTAGCGTGCCGATTACTAAAGTCTGACACGTTAGGGCTACTATCTACTGCAAGTTAAATACGACAGGTGCACTTTCCATGAGTTTCAACCCCCGATCCAATAGTACGATTTTTTCTAATGGAATTCTCAGGCGTGCTGTACACACGAACGCTATAGTTTTACGTAACGCGAAGGAAAGAAAAGAACAAAAAGAAAAAAAAAAGAAAAAAAACATGGCGATTCCTACAAATAATTTAAGGGATGAAGCGTCGAAATGGGAATTGGATTTCTCGCTTTTTCTTATTTTCCGCCCTTTCGCTGTCAACCACCCCCTCCCGACCCTCGAGCCAGCGTCGCTTCTGCTTCTCCCTCATTTCGCTCACGTACAAGCGGTTCCTGGGTCTCGTCTGCGAGACGCGCACGTGTCGATAATTGTGACGATTCTTGTCGCGAGGGTTTGCAAAAAACTTCTTTTTCTTTCAAAATTCAGTCCGCCACGCGATAATCACGCGCCACCCGCTATATTTCCGTAAGGCGGCCACATCGACAACCCCTCAAAAAATCACGACCGCCGTCGTATTTTCTTTAGCCGAAAACGTCGTCCGCTATATGCACGAAGGTTGAGCATAAAAGCTCAAATTAATCCTTGGACACGATTAAGGGTTGCTTTGTTCACAAACAAAAAGTCAAAGTGGTATAGAAATTTACGTATTTCCCAACCGCAGAAATTCAACCCTTGGTTCCCCCTTAGTACTGCAAGGGACGAAGATTCATCCCCGTATCGTTATACATACATCCTCGACAAGTATCCAGATTCAAATTCCAGCCACCCCCGAGCCAACACCCTAGAGAAGCCGTGACGAAGGGGATAAACTTCCACGTCGAACTGCAGACGATACCATTACCAACCTCCCTCGTCCGCAACCCCTAAAAAGCACCAAGAACAGCCAAATATATATCCCAAGACAGATCGATCTAGCTATAACATTCCTGAAGAATCCCAAGGGTGTCCGAGTATACCGGGGG